AAAGAATTGCTTTCCTGTTTACCAACTTATGACGATATTATCATTTTTCATGTACTTAGCCACCATTCTGTCTTCTGGCAATTGTTATCCAGGTTTTATAACCGATAAATAATTTGAAAACGAAATCGCCAGAACTGCACCTTGTCATTAAAATTTAAACAATTTGTTTACAACTTTATCGACTTCTGACAACGTTTAAGCCCCGACCTAGACTTCTGGCAATAGCTTTACGCGATTTCTGCAGTTAAAAACTATAACTACACCAAATTTCAGGACTGCACTCAAAGATTTCATTTTGATTAAAAATTAACATGTTTGACCGCTCGCCTACGCTTCCAGCCCCGGGAGCGCCTCTGGCTGCAGCGCTATGGGGCTTTGTCATCTAGTAAGGAGTGTTTTTAGATAAAAATTGAAAAGCGATGGAAACTACAGTGAATCTATATTATCAGTATCAATTTTAGTTCATTTACTCTATATGCTCGAAAAGCACGTTTTAATTCAAAGAAAGAGATTATTTTTCTTCTATTTAATAACAACTTAGGCCTCTTTCAAGCCTATCAGTATCCATTTACATAATGCAAACATTTGTAATCTAACATTTCTGGTTGTTGAAAATTTTGGTTCTTGAGAATATGAATAATGATAAATAAAAGATTGTACAACTAACGAGTATATTAAAATATCGAGAAACACCTGTCTTAAAGAAAATGATAATTTTTGGAAGTGTAGGAGTATAATTTCGATATCCATGAAATGTTAAACACAACAATTTTGAAACATACATATTATTAATGGAAACATACTATTTTATAATTTAACGACAAGTTCCTTAATTTACTTACTGATCATTACAAAAGTCGAATTAAATCACAAATTGTAATAAGCAATCGTGTGCATTCCAAATACTTGTCGAGAAAATTGTATGAAAGAAGAATCAGTAATTACATCTTTAACAAAACCTGAAATATTAATAGTTAACATCAAAAAATATTCTTAAAATAATAAATTAAATTATATGTATCACGTCGAAAATCACACCATGTTTTGCTAAATTGATAGAATTCTTATATAAACTTATCACAGTAAACCAAGTAATTCTTACATTAATTATTATATCATTAATGGAGGCAATAATTTGACAAAGATCAGAATTTGTACTTCATTTATAAGACATTATGTAGAGTTACCATCTATTCTTCCTCTTTGATATTTTGAAGAAGTTTCTGGTTTGAGAAATGTTTTCGCGTGGCGAATATCCGAGACGGATGCTGAGAAATGTGTTCACGTGAATAAGGAATCGCACTTTGAAGAAGGAAGATGATATGAAGTAAACATATATGGTGCACGGCAGAGAGCCGGAGTTTCTTATAAGTAGTAGTAAGTCTTGAAATTCGGAAATTCCAAACTGCATTGGGAAGTATACAGTGCTTAGGTTAAATTCAATTACACGGAAGTTTCTTGGCTTCATTTAAACGTATATTTGAAGTAAATTATTTTGTACAACGTATTTTATTACTCCTTCATCTGGATTAATTGATATTCTCCTTTTCAAATCTAACGAAATCTATCAATTTTCGAAGTTATAATAGAAAACTCTTTCTTAAATTTTGATATAGACAGGTGGAAATGCATTGGCGATGCACAATTAAATGCATCAATACGTTCATTTCCTTTATTTAAATACTCTATTCCTTTTTTTCCCTTTTTTGCTTTTATTCCCTTTTCGACATCATCGTAATGAGTCCATTACTCTTCTCACTTACTTCTTTTTAATCGCAGTTGCCGTTACACATTCTACCAAGGGAATTTACTCTTCAATAAATAATAATAGTAATCTATCTTGGTTAAAGAGTTTTTCCACACCTTCGTGCTTTCCTTTACTTTGACGCAGTCGCGACGACAGCTTCGAGAATTTATGTGTGACTTTAGATTACATTCCTGTCGTATATGTGAAATCGGCGATTTATGGAGTAGTTACGCTGTAACTAGTTAATTAAAGTTTCTTCGAGGTGCATTTCATCGAGTTACATTAAGCTGGTTCCAATAAATTGCGTAACATCGTACGTAGTCCAAAGTGTGTTACCAGCTATTCTAGTCCCCAGATGAAAGAACCGATTTTGCTCCAGATCAATGAAACGGAGGCGATTCCATCACTATTCAGTCCATGTGGAGTTAAATTGGACTACATTCGAATATACAAATTCCTAGATTTTTAATTATATTTTTATAGTTGCCTCTGCAGTAGGCAATCAACTCTCTGAGCTCTCTGGTCGGGAAAGGTTCCTCAGAGTCGTAAGGGAGGTAGACTGAGCATATAGTCGCTGGAGGGGTTCTTGTGAGGACGTATGTCGTAATATTTAAAAATGGTGGGACTTACAGCGCGACCCGTAGGAAAGGTGGCAGAATTTAAACACTTTGTATATTTAACTTTGTAATTTTTATTCGAATACTTTGGCAGAGCCTCTGACTGTGTCTTTTACAATTCTTCTGACTTACTACTAACTGTTATCACCCTGGGCATACGGTTTTATACTATGGGTTTAGTGGTGGGGGTTGGTCTGATGCCTGTGGGTGGTGTCGTTAGGGGTTGTGGAATGTGATGAGTTCTTGGAAAGGATGGAAGAGGGAAAGTCAGTAAATTATGGGAAAGGTAGCGGAAAGGAATTAGTGGGTCATGGAATTTGAGATTAGGGATGGCGGAGATATCAGGTTTACGGAGGAATAGGATATGGAAGTTAGAATTATTGCGTTACGGAAAAATAGGGTCAAGAAAGTGGAGTAGAGAACAATAGATGCGCGGTCAAAAAGGAGTTGGGTGCGGAAGGACTGATGGCGGGATAGCAAAAACTATGGAAAAGGGATAGGAAGGAAAAATTAGGGTGAGCCGCAGGGTGCGACAGTAAACCAAAACAGTAGTTATTGCTTTATTGGGCCAAGTAACTGATCCGTAGTACGACAGGGCCGTCACGGGTCTAAAGTATACATGCCCACGTTACACCCCGAGGCCTCAAGACTTGATGTTTGCTACGCGATTTTTTCCAAATTGGAAAACTGTTGACGATGATTGTTAACAAAGTTCCTACCTACCACAGTATTTTCAATAAGTCGGCCAACAGAATTATGTGTGAACATACATAAGAAGAAAAAAGTTATTGAAATATAACATCCTAATTCTGATACCATACGGCCCTGAACGAAAAGTGTAGCTCTGTCCTTGGCTAAAAAGGTGTCAGATTACTAATTGCGGTCGACTTAAGTTGTAAAGATCGATGTCCGACCGACTTTACGACCTCACAAGATCCCTTCCAGCGACTATAAGCTGAGCATACCATTATCGTAAACTTTATCGTAAACTTTATGACGGTGATCCCCATTGTGGTTCTTCATTGTATCCACTAGCGAGAGGATCACCCTGTATTATAGTCGCTGGAAGGGATCTTGTGAGGTCGTAAAGTCAGTCGGACATCGATCTTCACAACTTAAGTCGACCGCAATTAGTAATCTGACACCTTTTTAGCCAAGGACAGAGCTAGACTTTTCGTTCAGGGCCGTATGGTATCAGAATTAGGATGTCATATTTCAATAACTTTTTTCTTCTTATGTATGTTCACACATAATTCTGTTGGCCGACTTATTGAAAATACTGTGGTAGGTAGGAACTTAGTTAACCAATCATCGTCAATAGTTTTCCAATTTGGAAAAAATCGCGTAGCAAACATCAAATCTTGGGGCCCCGGGGTGTAACGTGGGCATGTATACTTTAGACCCGCGACGGCCCTATTGTCCTACGGATCAGTTACCTGAACCAATAAAGCAATATCTACTGTTTCGGTTTACGACGTCACAAGATCCCTTCCAGCGACTATACCACGGTGTATCTCTCCTACTTTCACTTGTCACTCCTACGTTTTCAAAATGCACCCTGATTGGTACTTGTAGTACTAATCTTGTAATACCAATGCTGCGGCAACCCGATATGTCCTACCATTACCTACTCAAAAGGTTACAAGTTTATAATATAATTTCTAACGTTTGGAAACAGCAAATTAAATAATGTGATATACCGTTGAATTCGTTTCGAAGAAAGCTGTCAGGCCATGAAAAAAAATATATAGTTCCATTTAAAAAACTTATTTTGACTTTGAAATCCTCCCTCTCTACTATTCCAGGCCCGAAAAAAATTACATCATATGATTGTACCCTACAAACCGAACAATTTTTGTAAATAAATTTATTCGTAACTTCAGTGTGTCACGACATATTTACTTTGCTAGATAAACGAAACACAGTGTATACAGGGTGTCCCAGCCTTAGTGATACAGCGCTCTAACTCCAAAACTATCGGCCGATTGCAAAATTTCAAATATGGAAATTTCACGGTAAAGTGGGGCTCATGTTTCAGCGAGAAGGAATTTTTGTTAACGTTGTTACTGAACGAGATATGATGATCAAATTTCGTTTTTCAAATGGAACTATATATTTTTTTTTTATACCATGCGATAGTACTTTTCAAGACAAATTTATTAAACTTTAATGTATTTACCCGATTTTTATTAATTTTCAAGCTATAATGCTTAAAAATTTGCTAATTTTGAAGTTAGAGCGCTGTATCACTAAGGCTGGGACATCCTGTGTAACGTTTTTCTAACATTTGATTATTAAAGAGGGAATTCAATTATTTAGGTATCAAGTAGTCAAATTAGCATGCAGAGTACTTTGTTACTAAGAATGTCCAAAATTGGTCAACCACATCAAATGCTCACCAAATGCTTATATAGTAGCCTGTAAAGGGAGATACTAGAAGAGAGAGACAGAAAATGAGAGAACCACTCCAAATACTTTCCAAGTACTCGCGTTAACTTTTACTAATAATACAGTATAATCAATGTAGACCTAGCTAGCTATCCAATTTTGTAACATTAAACATAACTGTCGAAAAGCCGAAAGCAGACTCGAGTGAGTCTCCAAATAGCTGACGACAAACAGCAATGGCATCCATAATGACTGATCTGGGTTAAGTTGTCGTCGTCATGGGTGCAGTCCAAATGAACACGAAGGATTGTAGGTAGGCACGTGCACATACATATATCCTAGGCGAAATTTAATGCTCTTTAATTGTCGGGTCTAAATGCGAGATACGATTCCTCTGCGAGGACTACGGCTCCCAGGGAAGCCTTCCTCGCGCGCAGAGGTACAACAATGTACGATGATTACCCGAAGGCATACGCTGCGCGACGGAAGCTCCTAGTAAAGTGCATTCCGCGAACCGTTTCCGTGTGACACGACAGGACGTGGAAATTAACTCGAAGGTGTCTTTACCGTCGTTGGCTGCCGCCTAGCCGACTCGTTTAACAGGCAAACGTTAGAGAGACGCGCTCCAGACTGACACGGGGCGTTTGTGCATGTTTCAGAAGGACAGCTGTATGCGGCGACAGTGGCCGACTTCTCTGGCGGCGAGCCACTGATTCACAGGGAGAAGATACGTACAGAGCGCTCGGATCTCAACCAGCTAAACGGTAATGGAAGTCACGCTAATTACATTAAAATATTCGTACGCTAGCAAGGCGCCGCGCCTATGCTACTCGCGTAGTGGTTCGCGATTATTCCGGATTTTACGATTAATGGTTTTTACTTTTACATTACTCTTTGGGAATTATAATTTGTAACCTATTTGCATCACATTGAAAAGTGGAAAATTCATTTTTGCTGCCAACAATTTCTTTTATTATATTTAACACTAGGTATGTTGGCTTTTATCCGTATAAAGAGACAAGCTGCCAATTTTGCACAATAACCAACTTGCTTTGGTAATACAATAGATATAAACACCAGCAAAATGTTTTTAGAGAAGTAAATGTCAAAATAGAAACAAACAAGGGAGGAGAAGCTAAGTGATTTGTCAATCAAATTAATTTTCTATTACAATAACTCTCCTAAAAAATGCAAATAAAATTGATTACTTGGTAAGTTAATTGACTGACTTTATAAAGGCGTTTGAAATAAATGGGTCAAATTTGTGGGAAGGTGGAACAAATTTTGGACACTTTTTGTGATTAATATATTTAATAATTGATTAGCAAATTGATTGAAAAACGAAACTTGACCATCGTATCTTGTTAAATAACAAAGTTAACAAAAATTCTTTCTCGCTGAAACATGAGCCCCATTTTACCATGCAATTTCCGTATTTGAAATTTTGCATTTGGTTGATAGTTTTGGAATTAGAGCTCCGTATCACTTAGGCTGGGATACCCTGTATATCTGTTAATGATGCAAATGGATTAGGTATACTTCAAGTAGAAGTAAAGATTTTCAATAAAACAGGAATTGTATGGAATATATTTAATTTTTGTAATTTAAATAGATTACTCATGATTACAATTAGACGTGAAGGATGATATTGTTTAAGTGTCCAGGATTATTATTTTAACAAACATACTTCGTTATTAAAAAACAAAATTTTAAAGCCTCTTCTACAAAACCCTGCATATGCTTCGATATACATTTGCAGTTAAATTAAAATTATTATTTACTTTCATTATTCATTCAAGCACATGTATAATTTTCTTATTTTTGTAAAATACAAAAATGTTGTCTTCTTTTAAATTCTACAAGCTTTCTTATTAAATTAAATTCTAACATAATATTATTATAATATGCATTCCATTAATATAGTTCTATTAAATATGATGTTGAACAACACCAGTCACTTAAGAGAAATATAATTTTTGCTGTCGATTCGTGAAATGTAATTCAACTACACTGTAAACGAATAAACAACAAATTCTCATCCAAGCTTGTGCAAAAAAATGCGAGGTGAATAAATCAACAAATAGTAAATTATTCTTTTGCTGAAGTAGGATTTTGTTATGTAATTATTTTGACAAAGGTTTATGTCTACGTAACAGGATTGGTTCTTCTGTTTACAGGACCGAATTTCGTCAGCTCGTTCGCCTACGAGGATTACGTTTTCTTCTTTTACCGAGAAACGGCCGTGGAGTACATGAACTGCGGCAAGGTAACGTTTATTTCTTACGTATTAGTTGTTATCTAGCGAAATTCGATCGTTTCTTAACACGTTTACTGCAAACTCATGCATATATTTATGATGCTGTTGTTTCGTTTGCTGCAGCTTATAATTAAAAGTAAAATACGAATAAGGCTATATACAAATTTAATAAGACAACATTAGTCAGCCAGTATTAATAAAATATCAGAAATACTAATATCTAAATAAAGTATTGCAGTAGTGCTCAAGAACTGAAGAATTTACATTTTCTAAACCCATCATTTAATTGTTAAAAGTAATGATTACTGACTTCTAATTACCTTTAATTACTTTGGACTACTTTTCCCACCGATCATTACTTTTAACAATTGCTGTCCATGTTACTGCAATTACTTGAAAGTAATTAAAAAGTAGTTATAATTACTTTTCAATTACTTTTAGGTATTTTTTACTACTTTAGATTTGAGACGCCTTTTAATTACTTTCTGGGCCGTTATAAGTAATTATTAAGTAATGCATGAGATTACGGGTAGTAATTGAATAATTGGAAATACCATTACATGCGACAGTGTAATTGTAATGGCAATTATTCAATTACTTGGTCAAGTAATCGCAGTTTTGTAATTGTAATTAAGAATTTACAGCTCTGATAGCTACATATTGAAACGACATCACGCTCTCAAGATTTTCTCTTGTTCTTTTCGAGTTTATATAATATAACATAGCGAAGTACAAGTGCAGTGGAAATTCGAATAAGACGCGACGTCGAAGAAAAGAATCGAAGGAGCCAATTGTTCGCAGCTCGCATTTGCGTTTCAGGCGGTGTACTCGCGGGTCGGTAGAGTGTGCCAGCACGACAAGGGCGGACCTCATGCGTTCAGCGACAGATGGACGAGCTTCCTGAAAGCAAGGCTCAACTGTTCTGTACCCGGCGAATACCCTTTCTATTTCAATGAAATACGTGAGTATGCTTGCATGTACACACGTACACGTGTGCTCGTAAGTTCAGGAGCTATGACGTTTGTCGAGACCCTCGTCGAGTGCACTCTAGTCCTTATGTGCCGGACAGAGGGGTTGGGCTACCGGTGTACTACTTTGCGCCGCTCTGCTCGTATGTACGGGCACCGATCAAATATATGGCTAGGATCGGCTAGCCAATTTTACAAACAAACCGTATTGTTATCCGTGGTCTGCAATATTCATCGCACACCTCGTATGTTTACCGAATCCCTTACAATGACTTGAATATGAAATTTTTATAGCGATGGGTTTGCCAAATACATGGCTAGCCAACCAATTTTAGATGCAAACTGATTGTTGTAAAAAGGCCTGCAGTATTCATCGGCCACTGTGAACAGCTGCAACATGCTCACAATGACTAGAATCTTAAATTTCTCTAGAATTGTTAAACGAGTTTAAGTAGTTTAAAATTTTTTAAAACTATTACTTTTAAAAACTATTTTTAAATAGTATTCATCACATTCGATTAATGTTTTTGCGTACAAACGTTGTTAGTACCAAAAGCGGTTTTCTGAAAATAACTTGAGAATTTCCCTAGAATTTGTTAATAATTTTTACTGAATTTCTCGCATCGATTTCAGTGGAAATTGATAATAATATTGCCAAAATTAAAATGTTCGTTTTTTGACTTTAAAAATTTTGTTGGGGGCCCCTGAGGTCCATTCACATAAACCCTCGGACACGGCAAAACTTTTTTACGGTCTAGAATCAAAAAAAAAAATTTGGACCAGATCTGAGGTTACATGACCATGACCTTAACCTTACCTAGAATGTAGAATTTGTATGGTGCTACTGGGATGCCATTATAGGGGTAGTTAATTATTCTCTGGCGCAACTGGGTTTGCTGCAGAAAGGCAACTATGATTAAAATACTTTTTCGCAATAACATTGAGTTCCCAAATATATACAGGGTGGGGCATTTAAAACAGGCCACCTGAATAATTGGCTTATTTTTTAGCGATAGAAAAAAAAGTGTCGAACAAGAGTTGTTTGATTTCGAGGGGCACGTAACGCGGTGCTAATAACCTTTTTATCGGTGGAAACGTAAAGGAGATATGAAGGTCAAATATGGTTTTGTAAATAAAATGATTTAGTTTCTTATACGCATCCGGATAGAGCATCTCATTCAAGGTTACATAGGCTGACGTGAATAGAAAATAAATTGTTCCAAGGCACTCTTCAAATATTTTGAAAGGATCAATGTGAAAGTCTGATGAAATTGCGCGTACTAATTTAATTAACTAATAATATTTACTCCTCAGATTTTCTTATTTTTGCACTCATGGGAAGGTCATGGTCATGTAACCTCAGATCTGGTCCAAATTTTTTTTTTTGATTCTAGACCGTAAAAAAGTTTTGCCGTGTCCGAGGGTTTATGTGAATGGACCTCAGTGGGCCTCAAACAAATTTTTCAAGTCAAAAAACGAATATTTTAATTTTGGCAATATTATTATCGATTTGCATTGAAATCGATGCGAGAAATTCGGATTCAGCATCCAAAAAAACCTATAGATACCGAATTTCGTGATGGTTAGATAACACTATTTTTATTCCCTATGTTGACCAAAATCGTGATTGAAGATTGGCTTGTCAACTTTAAACGTTCATAACTTTCTCAATTCTTAACCGATTTACTCAATATGTATGTCGTTGGAAAGCTCTTTTAGAGGCCAATAACAGTTATTTAATGCTAAGAAATACTCAGATGGCTTTATCATCCTCAAAATTCGAGTCAAAGATCACAAGCCTCAAAACACTTATGAATTTTTTTGAGGCTGATACAATTTTTTAGCGCGTCACCGATTCTTTTAAGGGTGCCTATTATGAAGGTAGACATTCGGTACAAATTTCATTGAATTCGCATTTTCGGTTCTGAAGTAAAAAAATCAATAGTTGCAAAGCTGATAATTTCAAGGGTCTCCCTTACCTTGCCGAATTTTGAATCTCGCCCAAAATATTGTTTACTTACAAAACTCTCTTCTTCCTTGGGGTGTTGAGAAGGCTTTCTTCGTTGTGAACATTGCAAAAATTATTTATGTTTTACCTGTATTTATATTAACCATCATAAACATTAGTATTCAAGTTTATTTTTTATTATTTTATTATTATAAAATCAAAAATCAAAATAAGTATACAGGGTGTAAGTATCCAATATTCATGGCTCACTTTGAATATCAACCAAATACTTACCATAACTAGAATGTTACATTGTTATAGTGCTATTGTGTTGTTAATTTCATGGATAGCTAGCCACTACGACAGGATCCATAACATGAAGCTTGTTTTATCGGATAATGTATGGAATATTCATCAGTTACTTTGCATGTCTCCCAAATGCTAACAATGTCTAAAATGTTAAGTTTTTAGAATAACATTGGTTTGTGTATCTTATGGGTAGCTAGGTGATATTACATGAGACTCGTTTGTTTCGGAAGGATAAATTGTGTACACACTTAACTGCAAAATAGGTTGTACGTAATATTAGCTAGCTATGCTTGTCAATATAGATCGAATAACACTATTAAAATTTATCATTCTATTTCTTCTTCTCCGTATGATAAATATTTAATAGATATTCAAAGCGACTGAGGAGTATAATCATTCGCAATGAAATAGTTTAGATGAAAACTTGACTAGTAGATACTTCCAAAAGATTAAAAATCGCAATATCTTAGTAATAATATAACTTTTTGAGTTTTCTAAACCTTCTTTTTTAGTAGATATTCAAAGAGGTTAATGAATATTGCAGACAAAATAATTTGTATTTTCAATTAGCTAGCTTATTCTATCCAAACGTTAAAAAATCTATCATCATTATAAATATTTGGCATTTGAAACGTTGTAAGCATTTTATAAACATGACAAATGTCAATGAATATTAGATACTTATTCTGAACGTCTATCAAATACTAACCATATCTGAAATGTTATGTAGTGCAATTGAATTAGTAATTCCACGGATAACTATCCAACGTAGTAGACTTCATAACTTGGAACCTGTTTTATCAGATTAAGTGCGTAATATTTATTAGCTACTTTCAATTTCTATCAAATGACTGCAATGTCTAGAATGTTGTATGTGATATATTGTGTCATGTACTCCACGGGTAAAATTAGTTAATGTTACGTACAGAATAATTTGTTTCACAAGGTAACCAATAATCAGTCTCTTCAACCCTTTACCAAATGTTTGCAATGTCTAGATTGCTAAAGTATAAAAAACAGATACATGTCGAATTGAGTAACCTTCTCCTTTTCGAAGTCCGATAAAATGATGGATCTTTCAATGTCTAACTAAGATCAACAAGCCAGTTGTACTTATAGAAACTAATTTTCCTATGATAACAATATACATTAGTCACTTTGAATATCTACCAATTTATTACTATGTCTAAAATGTTAACAGACATACTGATATATGCGTTATTAATTTCATGTGTAATTAGTCAATACAACAGGTTCTATAACATAGAACATGTTTTGTCAGGTGATGTGTGAAATATACATCAGACACTTTGAGTGATAACTAAATACCTAACACAACTGGAATATTTGTTGATAATGTTGTTATATATGTATGATCAACTACGTGGAGAGCTAGCTAATGATACATGCAAGTCGCTTTGTCAGCGTATGCAATGCACATCATCTATTTTTAATGTCTACTAAAAGCTTAGAACGTCAAAACTATTATATCTTCATAATTGTATTGTAATTTCTACGCTTTTGACAAGACATTTTAGCCTGGATGTCACATGTAAATTGTGTTGTTCATCAAACTACTTTAAGTATCCACTGAATACTTAGCATGACTAGAATGTTAAATTTTGTTAGTATTATTTTATCGTTTATAATATAAATACCTTGTCAATACTATTTGCAAATCTTTTGACATAAGGTTCGTGTAATAGTAACTACTATGAATGTGTAATTGTTATATTTTTATAGGTGTATTCTGATTTCTGTAATTTTAGTAGGAACTTGTACATATTTATATTGGATGGACTGGGAAGTTTACAATTTTAAATACTTGTTTACCACTCATCAGTTTATTGATTTTTATCGATCTGGCATTGAATGCACACTAGATGGCAAAAGGTTGTTGGTAACGAAGCTGTTTAGATAATTGATTAAAAATAGAAATTTATTTAAAATTTGTTTGAATTTCATGTAAAAAAAACCACATTATTTTCAAGTTTACCTAATACTTCGCATTCAAATTGCTTCTAGAACATTCGATATTAGTAGTGTTATTTTATTATCAACCACGTGAGTAATTAACTAATACTATTTGCAAACTGTTTTTACATAAAGTCTGTGCAATATGTCCCACTTTGAATGTCCACTAAATTCTTATAACGACGAGAATATTAACCCTTTGCACTTCAAGCAATTGTGCTATATACAGGTACACAACTCGAAGACCATTTTTTTAGATTTTTGAGTTATGGAATGACCACGAAAAACTCTTTGCAGTTTTTTAAATTATACGTCTTTTTTTAGAGTTTTACATATTTATTGACCGAACATAATCGCACACAAATCATAATAATTTCATGGAAATGTTGTCCTTCATTTGATTATTTATATGAAATTGTTTGAGACAGGTAATGGAAAACTAACGCATTTTTTAACGCTATTGCTTAAGAATATTGATCTTGTAACTAATTTTAGACACCAATCCCTTATTCAAACTTAATAATAAATTGTGGACAGTGATACTGGCAGTAGGAGTAGAATGTCTTCAAGTGGATGGGCAGTACAGTGCCCTTAGGAGTGGAAAGGGTTAAATTTTGATGGTGTATTTTATTGTCAATTACATGAATACCAAGCTGATACTACTTAGAAACAGTTTTATACTCAACAATTGGAGGAGACCTTATGCAAGACAATTAGCTGACTCATTTCTGAACCAATAAGGAGTAGTTGCAGCCAGCAGTAGCTCTTGAAAGTGCAACTCGAATTGGCAAGGATCGAAATCTCGGTTACAAATATCGTCCCAGATAAGATGCCTCCGATATTCCTTACGGGGCTTACCAGAAATCCATTGAACTTGATCTCTCTGATCTATCTCGCTATGTATCAACGCCTCCTGCGTAATTCTTCCCCCTGACTGTTTTATTGCAATCCTGACCGTTTTAACGCTACCTCGGCAGAACGTATAAACGATCACCGCAGCGCAATTATGACTTAACGATAAGGTGACGAGCGAATGGATTTGATTCCCCCTTTCTTTCTTTCCTTTTTTTCTTTTTACCCACAAACTCCATCCAATATCCATTACGCTTCTATGCTCTTTCCCCTCTTTGTTTCTACTCAGCAATTTTACATTGCTGACCAACCGATTTTCGTCTCCACGGCTTCCGTCCAAACGAACTAGTTTTCTTATCACCGCTACTTATTACATTATCATTCGAGGAGATACTGTGCCCGTAGACGTTCCTGGGCTTCGTCGATTCTTCAATTCTATTTTTCTGCTGCGTAGCGCAAATAACGATTCGTCGGTGTTTCGGGTTATACATCATGCCAAATCAATCGCTCTTTATTGGTCTGTGTCCATATAGACCACGTGAAATTAAGGAGGGTTTATGTGATCGTTTTCCTGATTTCGAATTTGTTCAAGAAATGAAGAATATTAAATTCTGTGTTGTTATTAGGTTGGTGTTAATGACTAGTCGTTTCCCCAGTGTTTCGATCACCTGGACTAATAACATCCATTTTAGTCTAATCTGTCATCAATTGATTGCAATCATATTAAAGGGGAAGATATATACTGTAAGGCACACACATTAAAATACTAAAGATGTTTAGAATAGAAACTTTAGAACCTTATTATCAACAATTATGAACACTTGTAATATTCGCGTTATTTTTTTATATACAGATAGTATACACAATATATATATATATAGTATACATATAATCTATATGTAGATGTAGATTATATTCATTCGCGAATCGTTCTGTACAATTTCGACAGTTGCGCTCTATTCTAACCGAAGTTATTTAAAAAAAAAAAAACTGAAATATTTGATCGTTTAAGCGCATAGCCACTCCATTCGTTATTCGATCAATTTGCCTATCGACCGATTAAACTAATCCAGCGTACAAGCACACAATAGGCGTAGTTGGTCGTACGACCGTTATTGTCAAATATTGGCTGCACCCATTACAGAGACTGTTAGGTTGTATCGTAGAATGTTAACGCGCGAACGAAGGACCCGTCGAAACGGATAAGCGTCGAGGACGTGCGCAACTTTCATTTTTGATAGCCACTCGTGTGGATATCCCGTGTCATAAACAAACTTTTTCATCAATGAATTTTCAAAGTTCTCGGAAGGGGTCAAGGGTTACTGCAGCGGATGGATCGTTCAACGTCACTGAATTTGTTTTGCGATGATTCAGCTGTAAGCGGAGTACCCGTTAAACTGTTCATTGAAACGCTCGCAACATTTAATTGAAACGAATTCGAGAGGATAGGAATTCGATTAAAAATTGTTGCTTCGATATTCGTCGTAACGCAGCTTGCCGAAAAGCTTGTTCTATCTTCACGGGGCATTCCGTAATATTTTGCGCTACAGTATCGTGTGAAAATTGAACATTCCTTCTCTGCTTGATAGTAAGATGTTTTTTTAACACTAAGTCATCATGTACACATTATATGTACAACTACATATTTGTTATAAGTGGGAAGAGGCACAAACAAAATTTTGACAATAAAATTAATTCTCTGTTACGATTGTCCATAAATATTGCGGTAGAAGCATTGTTAACGATTAAATAATTTTAAAAAGAAGTCTGCTTGATAATTACAATGATTGTAGAAGAAAAAAATAATATAAAGTTGATGACTACTAAAGTACAGGGTTTATAGGAAGTTTTTTTTAAATAAAATAGATACTTTTTTTAATTTTATTAGTTTTTTATTTAATTATCGGGTATTATCTATGACAATTATGTGTGAAAAACGATATCTGTCAAATGACCACCACGACCACGTTTACAGACATCAATTCGAAAATCAAAATTTTCGATAACATTTTGGCATATTTGCTCGTTTATTTCATCAATTTCATTTCTAATGTTGTTCTTCAGGTCATAAATTGTTGCTGGTTTGCTTTAAACTTTACAATAGAAAAATGACTTGGTCCCATATTACTGAGAATGAATGTAAAAAATGAACAGATTGAATGCTTGAAAAACGCACAGAAGCGATAGAAAATAATGATCTCGAACAAACTAATAAATCAATTAAACAAATTAATCAATTAGCTTGTTCTCAAGAATACAAAACTAATTTATGTTCTTCCTGTGTATTGTATCTAACACGTGCAATACCAGAACACCATTTTTCCAGTAAATATTTGCACAAACGCTCACTCCCTTAATTCCAAGAGAAGCATCCCGTATTCATGTTTTCCATACAAAACGAGCAACTTCTTTCATTTTGTTTCCCCCTTTCCGCCTTAATCTTTTGTCCGCAACTGTAATTCGTCACTCAATAAGTCGCTTCAGCTGCCTATGGAACAGCGAAATGAACCAGCAGCTTCGAGTACGGGACACAATGGCTGCGCACCGTCGACCCGCAGGATCGAACAGTGGTCAGGCGAGGGTTTGGGGTGGCACCGCGACGGAGGGCGATGGGGGATACGCTGGTTCTGGTATAAACGTAGAATATTGTCGCCGCACATCGAACCGAAATCCCTATCCGGGCGAGGAGAGTTGGCCACGGTCCAGCTCGGAGAGCCGCCAGTGGATCGCTGCCAAATCGCAGGTCCGGACTATCCCACCGATTCCACGAACAACCTACGTCCACCTCCACCGACGTCTACCTCATCCTGCCCGCTCATCTACCCGGCGCGGCGTTCCCTTCGGAGTTGCCCTCTCCAGATGACGCTCGGCACGAGGGAAGAAAAAATGTCGACGCTCGCTGGGGGACTAGGTAAAAACGTAGATGGATAGCGGCCACAGATAAAAGGGTTCGCGGGGAACTAAATAAATTCCGAAACCACGGCTCACAGTGGACGGAACAGCCAATCTAACTGATAAAAAATCATACTCATTAGAGACAGTTAATAAGTTATTGACTTTTCATTTTAAATTACTAATCCTTTGCATTCCAAGCAATTTTGCTATACAGGGTGTCTACGTATAAGTCCGGACACACGCAAGGTGCCAATTCTACAACAAATTTCCAACAAAAAATTACTCTTAGACATTTTCTTTGTGTCGCCTTATTCTCGAGTCTTTTCACTTTTAACTTTTTTTCTGTGTTTTCAGATTTTTTCCAAACCAGTTTTTTTCTTAATTGAGGAGACTCGGGAGCGTCACCAAAAGATACATCAAACCCGATGTCAAGCTAATTTTAAAGTAACAAGTCAATTTTTGTTGAAAAATGTCGATTTTCATCTTAAAACGTCCGCTTTTCTGCATTCGAACGTCATTTTCTCCCTAAAATACCACGGTAGAATTTTTTTTTACAATACCATTCAAAAGCTGAGATTTCGAGGAAGCTTTTCTCAAGGAGTGCCCGCCAAACAACTATGTATTTAAAATCGAAAAACGGATAGAGAAAAAGTCAAATTTTGTAAAATTCTCACAATGTAAAGTTTTACCTAATTTTTCACTTATTAAACCTACGTAATAAATTTTGATCTTGCATCAGGGAGATGGAAAATTTAACGCTCTTTCGAATGGTATACTTAGTTTTAAGTTTGCACTGTAATTTAGTGGAGTTATGGCCGTTTAAAGAGTGTCAAGCCGAAAACACAGAAAAAAAGTTAAAAGTGAAAAGACTCGAGAATAAGGCGACACAAAGAAAATGTCTAAGAGTAATTTTTTGTTGGAAATTTGTTGCAGAATTGACACCCTGCGTATGTCCAGACTTATACGTAGACACCCTGTATACAGGTAGTGTCTATTAAAAGCTTAGAATGTCAAAACAATATCTCAGTAATGATATAACTTTTTAAGTTTTCTGAACCTTCTTTTTTAGTAGATATTCAAAGAGGTTAATGAATATTGCAGACAAAATAATTTGTATTTTCAATTAGCTAGCTTATCCTATCCAAACGTTAAAAAATCTATCATCATTATAAATATTTGGCATTTGAAACGTTGTAAGCATTTTATAAACATGACAAATGTCAATGAATATTAGATACTTATTCTGAACGTCTATCAAATATCAACCATATCTGAAATGTTATGTAGTGCAATTGAATTAGTAATTCCACGGATAACTAGCCAACGTAGTAGAATTCATAACTTGGAACCTGTTTTATCAGATTAAGTAACCCCTAAGAAAAAATAAGCAGTGTCAAATCGCATGATCTAGATGTCCTCTTTGTGTCCTAATTTCTTGAAATAACACGTCCAAGAAATTTCTCAGGCAACAATTAAACTGTTTCGTTGCATGCAATGAATTTTTGCTGTTACTATCCATTGTTAAAGCGTATCAGCGTCAAAGCCTTTTTCTTGAATCGTATAGCATTTATGTCCCAACTGTTGGATTGGAGCGCGGTTTGACTGAATTGATAGCATAGTTTAATTGTTGGATTTTAGAATGGGTTTGAATAAACCTTACTTCAACTTTATATTAAAAGATATTCATTATTATATTTGGTTTTGAATAATTAAAGTAAAAGTAATACAATAAAGAAAATAATAAACTTAATACAAGTGCTCTCTACATTCTCTCATACTGATATCAAACGATACTTGTTAGTCTCACAGACATCAACCACACTTACATACTACATCCTGTATGGTATTGCTCTCACGTACCATACATTAGTTCTAATTATGATTGGCGCCAAAATCAAATTTAAAGTACCTTATTCTAACATATAATGAAGATAAAATTGTTGTTACTACGAGTCTGTGAGAAGGATAATGAAACAAAATAGATTGAAATATGTACTTATCTTTGACAACAATGATCACAAAACTATTCCAGAGTGGACAGAAGCTGTATATTCCCAAAAAATATGCTCTGTGAAACGCATAAAAAGAGACTGAGGTAGTAAAACTTACCATTTCTTCCTCAAAGATGTAAAATTCACGGGAAAACCTCTACACCAGGCTAACATTTTGTGAATTTCCATAAGTTGTCATATAAGCCAGACATAATCTTTTATTTGAAGTAGAAGACCGAGAAGGAATGATATTTTGAGACTTACAGAGCATTACGGGTCTGGGTTGGGTACAAATATCGGTAGAAAGTTAAAAAATACTCGAGGTTCATATAAAACCGAAATTAATCGATTCTAAAAACCTAAATTTTTTATTTTTGATCAGTGTTACGGCGTGAGCAAAATGGCTGGTTGTATTTGAAAGAATGTCTTTCTGGTATGCTCACTTCGGATGTGAACGTTAATGACAATCGAATTAATTAAACTATTAAGGTAGCAGAACTGCAATGAGTGTTTGACAGTTTTAACAAATAACTTTAACTTTATTTAAGAACTTGGTAAATGCAGAAGGTTTCTACAAGTTCTTAAATAAAGTTAAAGTTATTTGTTAAAACTTAGTAAATGCAGAAGGTTTCTACAAGTTAGTTGAATCAGTGGTGGTTCGTGAGAATCTGCTCTTCTCTTTTGGGAGACAATTGAAGATGTAGTCGCTGGAAGGGATCTTGTGAGGTTGTAAAATCGGTTGGACATCGATCTTTACAACTAAAGTCGGCCGCAATTAGTAATCTGACACCTTTTTAGACAAGGACAGAACTAGACTTTTCGTTCAGGGCCGTATGGTATCAGAATTAGGATGTCATATTTCAATAACTTTTTTCTTCTTATGTATGTTCACACATAATTCTGTTGGCCGACTTATTGAAAATACTGTGGTAGGTAGGAACTTAGTTAACCAATCATCGTCAATAGTTTTCCAATTTGGAAAAAAATCGCGGAGCAAACATCAAGTCTTGGGGCCCCGGGGTGTAACGTGGACATGTATACTTTAGAGCCGCGACACCCCTATTGTCCTACGGATTAGTTACCTGGACCAATAAAGCAATAACTACTGTTTCGGTTTACGACCTCACAAGATCCCTTCCAGCGACTATACCACGGTGTATCTCTGCTACTTTCACTTGTCACTCCTACATTTTCAATATGCACCCTGATTGGTACTTGGTTTAGAAACAAGGCCCAATCAGGGTACCTAGAGCCCTACACCACCCTCGTAGGTACGTCTTCACCAGCGGTCCTGGAGGCAAGAGTGGGTGGTTACCTGGTGTCTTGCGGAAAGGCCACTGCCACTCATGGGTTTTTCCAAGTTTACGACACGGACAGCTGCTGAGGATCGGAACCACACGAAATTCTAAAGACCTCGTCGACGGTCGCAACTAGATTGATAGTGACGGCAATATCAGCATAAACTCAAAAACAGCCTAGCTTTGCGAGCATGTTATAAACTATTGTTGGCCTTCCGTTTAGTGTTTTATGTCGCTCGAAAGGTTAAAACTCGATGGCAATTCTAACTGTACACATGTATAGAAAGGCAAAGTGTTAGAAGCAATATTTACGAAGTAACAATCAGCTAGAATCGCTGTTTTGTCCATTGTAGAGCGAGTGTGGAAAGAGAAGGCAGCTGGTTTTTGGAGCATTGGCAGCCAGGAGCCGGGTTGTTCCCCGAACGTGTTCCCGCTCGAACAAGCGTGGAGAGCGTTCCGGACGTAATAACCCGTGAAATGACCAGTTATGATATGTGAATAGTCGCAACATTGGCAGCTCGCTGGTAGTTAGGTTAATTTATAACGAACGATGCTCGGAAATGACCATTTCTTATATCCGTCAGGAGAGAATAATTTTTATGTAGGTTTCCTCTTCGTATGACGATTTCTTTATTCGGCCGTTTAATTACTGGGACTCCATGCTATACTTCATGTTAATTTTTGTACAATTTGCATAAAGTACGTTGTTCCTGATATCTGAGCTATAGCTTCCAACCCGGTGATAAGTGAGGTCGCGAAAGCTTTTGTAGCGCGGAATTTGCATAAAGTTGTCACATCGACTGGATACAACCGTCCATTTGAAGGAGGAGTCCTGGGAGGAATGAGATTTTAAGACGTAAGGAGAGGTTACCGTTTATGTCGATGAAAAAATTAGATTTCTTTTTTAACATAATTTGCATTCTTAAAGTGTTTAGAACACGTAGGTAAAAGGATATTTTGGTATCTAAGGTATTTTCAAAGTTACAGCGCCGGCTGAGAAACAGGTAGCTGTTTTTTTTCGAAACAGTACTTTTTAAAGCGCGGGGGGCTTTACAGCTTCAACGGATTAACCGATTCTCATGAATCCTCTGCCAGTTGAAAGGAAATTCAATTTGCGGAGCCATCGCGAAGCAATTTTTGTTAAAAATTAATTTACATATTTTTCTTACGATCATTGATGCGAAAAAAAACAGCGAAAAAATTCGGGTTTTTTCAAACGGATGCTATTTTCCTATCCAAAGGATTTTTAGAAAATCACAAACAGTAAGGCTCCCCCAAATTTATTCTACTGTAATAATTCGAAATCCCGTTTTTGGTTCGGATAAACTAGCAGGTCTGTGAAGCGTCCCGCGCAGAGCAAACGACGCCGTGCAATTATTTATTTGATCTTGTAAGCTGGAGACGCCATTTTGGATGAAAGTAATGCAAATTCCAGAATTTATAACGACTCAAAATATCGACCGTGAATGGACCGTGTTGTTTCTTCAATCGAGTCTAATTAAAAAAGAACAAACCTAATATGTTTTCTGACATTGTTTTTATTTTCTCTAAAACTAACTTTCGTAGCATAAAACGGTTATCTATAGGTGAACATTATTTTATATTTATTTCATTTACTTCGGAAGTATTTTAATAAGAAAAAAAGTATTTGCAATACAAATTTTTAAAATAGATGTTGGATATCTTGGGACATATTTCTCCCGTTCTTAATAATAACGAATCGTCTTGCTAATAATAATTAAACTATATATATTATACAATAGATTTAAAAATATTGTATTATTTACTTAGAAATGTATGAGAATCATCACAATGTTAAATACCTAATTGGAGTATTTTAAAATCACTGAAACGAACGAAGCGAACAATTCACCGAACAATTCCATGCAAACACATAAAATAAAGAGAACATTATTTGCCATGATAATTAAAGATACGTTACAGAATAAACTTATGCAATATTAATTTATATAAATATTTTTACTCGGTTGAAATTTATCCTAGTCGGAAATAAAGCATTTGTGTGAGATTTTAATAAAAGTACAATGTATATAAATTACTTGACATATTAAAAATACGTATAAATTTTGTTGTTATGTTGAATGTTTAAATCTCAGTGTTGGAGGGGAAATCACGACTACGCCTGCAGTAGAATTCACTGAATACAATATATATCAAAAAAGTAAAAGAATTACGTCAAGTACATGAAAAAGTGAAGGACGAAAAGGAGTAATCAATCATCATTAGTTTCAGGTTAGGTTGCAATAGCCGGTTCACAAGTAAAAGATACGCGGTAGCGTCAACGCCATATACAGGGTATCCCAAGAATGTTGGAAGTTCTTGAAAGGGGTGGTTCGGAGGGTGATTCGAAATAACTTTTTCCTTAGCGAAAATGTTGTCCGAGGCTTCGTTGAGGAGATAATATCAGAAAACCTCGACCAATCGGAGCGCTAGTACGCAGGCGGAGCGCCAGCAGTAGTGTAGGCAACGCACTAGACGGCCGCAGTAGTGTAGGCTACGCACTAGACGGCCACAGTAGTGTAGGCTATGCGCTAGACGGTCGCAGTAGTATAGGCGACGCTCCACTGGCATACTCGCGCTCTAATTTGTCGGGATTTTCTGTTAATATCTCCTTAAAGAAGCCGCGGACAACATTTTCGCTGAGGAAAATGTTTCAAATTACCTCCCGAACAACCTCTTTCAATGTGTTACAACATTTTTGGAACACCCTGTATAATTCAGTGTGATGGTTAGACAATCATCGCTGGTCCTTTTCGAAAGAAAATACGCTTGACGATAACCAGTGATGCGATCAAATATCTTGTAAGTTCGAATTTAACTCGAGAATTTAACTTGATTTCGAAATAATAAATTTGAGATTTCTACATAATAAATTTGATCCCATCCTTAGTAACAAACGTCGAACCAGGTACGACCGGGCTTTTCAATCACAAGGAAACTGCTGACGCATTGGCCTTTTTTAGGGTTATTGGCAACGTCACTTAGCATCTAATTATGAAAAAATCTCAATCTCTTCAATGTTGACACTTACAAAGCAAGCACTCAACCCGCCCCTATTCGACTCTAACCTACTTTTCCAGGGTGGTGTATTACACCTACCTACTTGCTGCTGCCCGTGAAATATTCGGTGTTGGAAATATTTAATGTATTATTTATAAATATAATGTACAATGTGTTATTTACAATGTAGATGTATTACATGTAAAAATTAATTCTGTGCCTTTACATTCAATCATTTATAACCCTATAATAAATAGAAATATTTATTTGCCATTTTGTTACGTTAACACGTTCACTGCCAGGCAAATATTCTTAACATTTTCTGCTAGGATTAAATATTATTTAGACGATTGAAAAGTACATAGACAAATATGTATCGTGGTATTTTGTATGTTAACTTTAACGTAATTACTAACTATAAACATAATGTTGAATGTTAGTTATTACACGTGCATTGAAATCATAAGAATTACAGTTAGGTAAATTTTTCAGGGTAGATAAAGATATCAAAAAAACGAGTACAAAATACACAACTGTTCATCTGTTGTTCGTTAAATAAAAATTAGAATGAGAATTATAAAATTAAATACTTGACGTCGAACAAATATAAATATTCTCAGGCACTCGAATAAACGTAACAATTTAATTGATATATGTAGGTTTTCTTCGTCATCTATCATTAAGAAAAAAAAAATTTTCCCATTTCTGATAAAAATATCCGATGTCACAAACACACAATGAATGTTTCCTTGCCGTAATCGCGCTGTTTTACTTCTCCCGGGAAGCTACTTTCTCGACATTTCAAGATATTTCCTGAGGCGTAATTAATTCCCAGCAAATGCTACAATGGAATAAATGACATTTAAAGGGAAGTATAAATCAAAGCAAGGACACGTAACAAACACGTCAACAGCAGAAATGGAGAAATGCTGCAAGGTACATTCGAATTATATTATTTCAGAAGCAAAGAATAGAGTTTACAATTAATGTTGACCCACTCATTGCTGCTAACTCTTTAATGCACACACTTTAAAGAAAACATAAAACTCTAGCGGCACAAAACACAATCCCATTGCTTGTAAAATTAGTATAAAACATTGAATAACATTTCTTCTGTCTAGTATGACACAATTTATAATACTTACTTATAACACATTTTAAAAAAAAAAGAAAAAGAAACGACTTTACGTTATAAAAGATCAAAATTCACTGCACCACACAATTCGTCAATTTTAATTACAACGGTGTTAACTACTTGTTCATAAATTTCTTTGCATCAGTTCATAGCTATGCCAACCGAATGAAAACCTTTGAATAAAATATTAAACTGTATGACTATGACTAATTTTGACTTTTTGAGATGACAAATTGACTGAAAATTGTCCAATACATTGTCCAAAGACGTACGTAGGATTTGTTCTTTATATTGGACAGTTTTTTTTTATAAACATTTATCTGATTATTTCTTCTTGAAACTTTCTCATAATGGCGCCGTTTGATCAAAAATCTAATATACATCATTGAACAATGTTGAAATTTGTCAGCTACTTTTTTTAAAAGCAACCATTTTGTCATTCTTCAATATTTTTCTGTTTATTCTAGTTCAGACAATAACCACACCCATACAGATTGAGAGTCTCTTTAATCTGTTTCATTTGGATAATGGCAATGCCTGTAATCAAGTCTGTCATGAGGACAAATCATTTTAAGGCACTCCGATGCCTCTGCACTACAACTTGAAATGTAACAAATATTTTTACTTGAAAAAATTTGAAAATATACGTTAAATATGTATTAATAGTATTAATACTCGAACGTGGTTTGAAATTGATATGTTCTACAGTTTTCTTTAAAAGTATTCCCAAATAGCACCTAGTTATTAAAGCGTTACGCTTGAGAGACCCCTTAAATACGCGTTTGTCGATTTTTAATCGTCATTAAGACCGATGGATCAAGTGGTAGATGGCCCTCGCTAATTATTGATAATCCGAGGGACCGGTGGCAATGGGGAATGGGAATCGAGTAACCAGGATCGATACGGGATTATAAAGTTTCAATCGCGTAAGTGCGCTGGATACACGGGCCCGAAACAGGAGAGCCGCATGAATACGCCCTAACTTATGGAAATATGGCTCGTTGAAGAAGTGTAAAACTAACGGCAACGAACGACGTAGTTTCCAGTTATCTCCGTCTCAGCTGAAGAATTTCCCGAAATTTACTTTCCTAGTTTATACCAGGATAAAGCTATTCCAGCTGTACAGGGCCGGCCAGAGCAAAGGGGAGAAAGCAAAATAAAGACACTGTTGGTATACTAGTGCATGCACAATAGCTGGAACTTGGTTATTTATTGATCGTTACTCGTGCGGAAACCGAGGGCGTTACAGAAGGCATACTTATCGAATGCCGTTCGTTTTCTGTGTAAAGTTCCCGATTCGTTCTGATATAAAATTTCAACCGGCGCTGGGTAACCGGAACGTACCTCTCTTAAGCTGGCAGGACCAAATCAGCAGAATCGTATCGGACTTAGTGGAATATTTAGTACTAATTTTGTACTAATTTGTACCACCAACAATAATTTTGTACCTTGTGCCTTTTTTGAAAAAAACGTGACGCTCCTAGCTTAATATTAAGCTAGCAGAACCACACGTCAAAATTAATAAAAATGAAAAAACAAAAGTGGATACATTTAGTGTTGAATTTGTACTAATTTGTACTACCAAAAGAAATGTTGTACCTGTTACCGTTTACGAAAAAATCGGGACGCTGCTAGCTTAATATTAATATTACGATTTTCTTGAAAACGGTAACAGGTACAAAATTTTTTTGGTAGTAAAAATTAGTACAAATTCAGTATTAAATATATCCGCTTTGATTTTTTCATTTATATTAATTTTAAACATTTTTAGCCGCTAGCTTAACGTTAAACTAGCAGGGCTACAATTTTCTTGAAAACGGCACCAGGTACAAAATTATTGTTGGTGGTACAAATTAGTACAAATTAAGTACGAAATATTCCACTAAGTCCGATATGATTCTGCTGATTTGGTCCTGCCAGCTTATGAGAGGTCCGGGACGTTTCTGTAGAAGAAAACATAAAGAAGGAAATAGCACGGAAAATCGGGGTCCAGTTTATTCGGGACACGATTGATTTCTGATGAGAATTGTACCTTTAATTGCGACGGGAAGATTCAATTGGACAAGACTATTGCGAGGGTGAATTGAAAGCATGGAAAGAGGGTGTGAACCGCTATGCGCTTGGTCACGGTGAATATTGTTCCGTTTTCTTAATATTTACTACAAAAGTAGCCAAAATTGAAAGTTGATAATAGTGATGCTGGTTTCGAGGATAGAAGGTCACATAAATTAGTATAGATAAATTCTAGTTGTAAGTCTAGTTTCCACAGATTTATTGAAAAGAAAAAAGTCAATAGAGGCACTGGATTGATTGGAACATAGAATGGAACTTAGAGCTACAGAGAAAGAGAAATTGCGCTTAATACCCTTCTATTTTTATCTATAGAGACATAATTATTACCATTATTAAATCCATATGAAATAGTAAAATACAGGAAATATTTTATACAGAAAGAAATTCCAAAACTGGGAGTCGAAATGCACGATTATATGTTTCAGTTTTGCTCGTCATTATTTTCTTTTTAATATTCATGACTAGACTGCGGATTTTATGCATTTATAACATTCAATGATATGGAACACATTAAAAAAAATATACATAATGTATGTTGAATATATTCGAGAATTAAAACAATAATTCTGCATTTATGACTAATACAAATATGCAGAAACATACAGGAATGTGAATAAATGCACAAGTATGTAAAATATAAAAAATAAAATACACGTTACGATATTTAAAAGACAAAACATACTTTAACTTAAGTTTCTGTTCTTTATCTGTGGATATAAAAATATGAATTTGCATAAACATCCGCAGTCTAATAATAATAATAATAATAATAATAATAATAATAATAATAATAATAATAATAATAATAATAATAATATTGTTCTTTCGTTTTGTATCAATGTACATACCTTTTGGTCATATTTGACATGTATTTATTACATTAGGTTCGTTATTATAAATGCATAAATGTATCACAATTGAAGTCATGAATTCTTGTTAAAAAAGGAATAATACCACGACACCAAAAAGTGAGATAAATACCACAGATAAACTAATTACCCAACCAATAATTGTAACATAAGAGTGAAAAATAATTCACAGAGGGGGGTCGAACTAATATCCAGAGTTTTATAGCTCATATAGCTCATCCTATCATATATTATTACGCAGAAATTACAAAAGAGCTTTGAACGGGCAAATATGGAAAGAATTTCATCGCTTCGTAAAACTCATTCGACAATCTAAAAGCGTTTTAAGCGATTCCTGTTGTATGCTTTAATCGCGGTAAAAAATCGACGCATTTACGCCACAATCGAGGAAATTATTCTGTTTCTCTTTGAAAACGTGTAAAACAAATACGCGTTCATCGATGCTTAATTGGCTATTATGATTAAAAGGTCTACATCAGGCCATGCAGCGTCGACCCCTATTACTCTCTGAAGATCGGCTACCTATCACTTTTGTGTCTAATTCTTTTAATTCAGTTAATTCAGTCTTTTCTAGAGAAATACATGTGAGATATTCATTGACTCTCTCTCGATTAAACGTGGATCGATGATGCGCTTATAACACATTTAAATAGGATATTTAAAAAAATCTTGCTTGTTTAGTAAAATTCAAAACGTGAAACTAAAAGAGAACATATGTTTACACAATAATTAGGAGTGACTTCTGGATAATTTATGCCAAATTCTTCTGTTTGTAAAAAATAAATAGTACATTAATACATTCGCAACCGATGACATGAATTCACGTCACTTCAAATTCTATTCCTGGTTTCTATTCCAAATTATGAAAATCTTTTTATTTTATACATTACATATTTACAACATACATATGCCCAGTTTCAGAATTTTATTATTTTCGTCAGTACTCGGTATTAGAAACATAAAACACCTGCCAGTCGTGAATGTGTTAAGTCTATCTACTAATAGGTATATTCAGAATGATGCTCACTATTTCTATGCCTTTCAGTTTCACGCATATTCAATTCGAAACTATATACGATGATATTACAGTTTTCAAAGAAACTAATAATGAAACAATTATTCAAAGAATAAAATTTCTACAAACACATAAATTGTTCGTTT